AGTTTCTTGAGAAGACTATTACCAAATAAGGAAATTTTCAGGTGAAAAATGATTTACGGGAAAGAGTTTTTTTTTACAATAAATATTTTTATAAATATATACAAGTTTGTATTTAAATATAAAAATTTATTTGTAATATTAAAATTATAATACTAAAATTATTTCATTTTTAAGAATATATATAATATATATTAAAAATATAAAAAAACAATTAAATAATATAAGTATTATTATTGTTCAATTATATTATAATTGGATTTATATAAAATAAAATATTAAAAATTTTTTCAAAATAAATCCTCAATAATCTATTGTCATAAATCAAGGATCTGTTAATAATAATAATTAAATCCTTGACTTCATGATACTTTAACAGAAATATTTTATATAAAGGAAGTATAAATATAAAAAAAGATATAAATTTGATGAGTTTGTATAATTTGAAGAATTTTATTAGTTAGAACAATATGATAAGTATAATAATTTTTAACTAATAAACACTTTTTTATTAATTAATTTTTTTACACTTTTTTTTTTACTATATTTCCTTATATTACTTTTATATTTTTTATAGCAAAAGAAAATAAAAAAAATAAAAGAAAATAATGAAGTTAAGAATCAATTATCTGTTTTGGCAATCTTTATAATGCATAATTGTTATTTTTCTATTTTTAAGCATATTGTCAATTGCTGTTTTTTCATAACTAGAGCTCTTAACAATATCACTTTAATATCACTTCAATTTCAATTTGATACTTAAATTTACTATAAAAAAATATTATTTCAATACCAGTTTGATACTAGTTTGATACTTTTTGAAGTCTTATTCATAAAATTACAAAATATAATAAGCTTTATAATTTTTACAATTTTTTTTATAAAATACTTACAATTTTTTTTTATTTTAAAAATTGATAAAAAATTTTTAAATATATTTGTAATAGTTTATAAAATAAAAAACATTATAATAAAAAACCTTTTCTTATTTTATCTGTTTTGTTTAAAAATAAAAAATTAAAAATTAAAAAAATTATTTAAAATATTATTATAATAAATAAATTTTAAATATAATTTATTTGATAAAAATCAAAATTTTTATTAAATTTTTAATTCTATATATTTTTTAAAATATAAAATCAATTGGAATTATATTAAAAATATCAATATTAAAGTTTTAAAAAATATTGATTGATATTAAGATAATATTATTAAAAGCTTTAATAAATATATAATATAATCATAAATAGTTATAAACTTTAAATTCTTTTAATATAATTTCAAATCAATATATTGTAATAAAATAACATATTTTTATTATTTTATTAAAAAGCTTTAACAATAATTATATTTATAAAAAAAAGTCAAATCTAAAAAAATCTTTAAAAAATTTAAAATTTTATAAATTTTTTTATATTGTTTATCTTTATTTAACAAATATTATATTTAATCTTTAATTAATATAATTATAATATTATTAATTTAAAAGTATATATTATTTTATTTTCTTTAAAATAATAATATAAAATTTATTATAGAATCTTATAAAGTATATTTAATATTGAAATTATTTAAAATAATTATTTAATAAAATTTATATAGAAAATAATTTTTAATTTTTTTTAAAGTTTATATTTTTTTATATTTACTAAATATTTTTTCACAGAAATTTTTAATGCTATTAACTTTAAACTTAAATATTTGATTAATATCACAAAGTTAAAAAAAATTTTATTGTAATTATTTTTAAATCTTGACTTGTAATATTATTATTATTTTATTTTAATATTAGAATAAAATATATTTTATAATCTTTATTAATAAGATAAATAATATAAATAATATATATTTAATAGTAATATATAAATATATAACTATTTATATCAATTTATTATTTATTGTAATATATATACAATATTTTTAAAAAATCTTGAACAGAAAAAGAATAAATAAAATTATTTATTAGAAAATATAAAATATTTAAAACTATTTAGACAAAATTGGAATTATGAATTAATATTAAAATAATATCAAAATAATACTTACTTATAATAAATTTTATATATGAATTATAACTCTTTATATTAAACCTATAGTAAATTCAATACTAAATTAATACTGAAATGATATTGTTAAAAATTCTATGCATAAGTAGAATTTCAAAAAATATTGAACTGGTATTAAAATAGTATCAAGACAATATCAATTTATAATAAATTTAATATATGGATTGTGATCTATTTATATGAATTTATAGTAAATTTAAGTATTAAATTAATACTAAAATGATATCAAAGTGGTATTATTAAAAGTCTTATATATAAGTCACATTATATATGTTGTTGAAATTTATAAATCCTTGATGCAATTGATATAATTATTTGGTATAATTAATTGAGTCACTATTAAAATATATAAATAATTAAGATATAATGTAATTATTTTAAGAATTTTGGAAATTGAGTCAATAACAAATAATTTATGCTACATGTATAAGTCACATAGTAAAAAAATTTTCTGAAATTATAATTGACTCTAAAATAGCTTCTATAGAAAATATATAAGTAATGTAAAAAATAATATTAAAAAATAATGAATAAAAGATTTGGATAAGTTAAAGCAGTATATAGTAGAGGAATAGAAAGAAATTTTCAACAATACTTTAATGAATTTGATAAAATTAATGAATGAACATTGCAAGAATATAATTGAACAAAATGGTAATTGTATTTCATATTAAATTTAATAAAATAAATATTGTGCCTTTTGACTTTCTACAAGCTATAATACAATATACTGTATGTGATTTAATTTATTTGTTATAAAATTATTGTCATGTAATGTTATACAAAAATTTTCTTAATGCACTGTAAATAAATTAATTCAAAAAGTCTTATTATATAACACTGTATTATTGTCTAATCAAATTTTATGATTACTTCATGTTGGTCCCTCACAATATTTAAACATCAATCCCTTTGTAGCGTGATGATAAAATTGTCGTCGTAGTAATACCCTTTAAGAATTCGCCCTAATCTCCATAAGACACTGTAAGCATTCTTCATTGAATAGTATTTGCCTATGCAAACTCGTTTCTCATTTATTAAATAAAATAAATTTTCGCTTAATATTATTCTAACCAAGTTGTCTTAAAGCTTAATCCGCGTTGATTTTTTTTGTTAAATAAAATATCGGAGTAGTAACTGACACTAAACGTCATTTATACGTTGGCATACACTTAAATGACTGATTCGCAGAACCTTTTGACCATTAGTACAGTATATGATAAAACCGCAGTAGGTAACATACTGTATGTTGTACCACGGTTACTGTAGTACGTACAGTATTTACGGTAATGCAAATATGACCGTTCCTGTCACATATCACATTCTGTGAGTAATTGTTTTTTTTTCCACTATGACTTTACCGCCAGAATGCATAAATTTAATTCTAATCCATTTGAAAGTCGATGTAAAGACTTTACATTCTTGCCTTCTCGTTAATCGTCTTTGGTGTAGTGAAACCGTGAGAATCCTATGGCATCAACCATTCAGGCATCTATATACTAGTGATTGTCAGGTGGAGAAAAGAATATTGCGGGCCGAAAATTTAATCCTTACATATTTATCATGTATACTTTACCAATATAATGAGGAATTGGTGAAAAACTCTGCCATTCCAAAACCTGTGAAAAAACCTCTATTTAACTATATTCAATTCTTGAAGAACTTGGATTTACTCGATTTCTTTGCCGTCATTCAAGATTGCACTGAACCTAGACATACTCTTACACTCGAAGTTTATAGGCCTGCTATATCTTATATTCTACTAGATAATCTATTATCTAAACCCGTCGGAACTTTAGTAAATGGGCATATTTACACAGACCTATTAAATATCATGAGCAAATTAATCACGGACTATTCAACAGGACTTTATAGATTATTGTTAGACGTCGAGGGTGGTGAAGGAAAGAAGGATGTGTTTAGAAAGATTTGGACTATTGGCTCAAGTGAATATCAGTACCTTATGAAAATTATTAACTCAAAAGGTCATTTGTCTCAACTTACCGAACTCATTATGCCAACAAGAGTCTTTAATAAAACGGAAATATTATTGGCATTAATTCCAGTTTCGAGGAACCTGAAGAAAATAGTAGTAAGAGTGGATTACGAAATTAATGTTGGGTGTTTTCGAAACAGAGAGCGTGATAGATATATTGCTGAGCAGGAAGCAAAGGCTCTGGTCGATTTGATCACGGCACAAGAAAGTTTGGAGCATCTTGGATTGCACAGTTGTGTCGAAGGTTTAAATTATTTGTTAACTTCGATTAAGAGTCAAGCCAACACTTTAAAGTATTTATCATTTGTAAAAGTTCATTTTTACGGTTTTGAAACGTTCAAACACATAGCTCCTTTGAGAAATCTAGAGCAGATTCAATTTAATCATTGTACATTTGGACTAAAAGATGCATCAAGTCCTTATCGTTTCGAGAATAATTTTCCAAAACTAGTGAAGCTTGAAATACAAGGGTCTACAAATGCAGATTATGCGGTCGAAATTTTGAGGTCAGCCGCCTGTGGTTCTCTCAACGTTGAGTGTGAACCTCGTAACTCGATATTTGATTTAGAATATTGGTAAGTATCTTGTTTTTGCATGGAAATTTCTTGATATAGTTAATATCAACTTTCGGTACACAAAATAGGTTTTTTATTTATGAACAAAAACTAGTTTATGTGTCCGAAGTCATGAAATTACCAATATTTGAGATATAATATTCATTTTACTTTTACACTATTATAGAAATGCAAAGTTTGAAACTTTGACTGAGAAATTATGTTAATACAAGGCTGCGGCTATCGTATTTAAGATTCTTAATACATTTTATCGTATATACTGTAAGTATACATTCTTTAACCATTTATTTTTAGTTTATGTACTGTATTTGTCTTTTGATTTAGAGTTCCGATCATGTTCCCGAACATTGTATCTTTGAACATTATGCACGTGCAAAAAGGATAATTTTGACGTTAGGTCAGTTAACTTGTATACGCTAGATATATAAAACTGATGTACTGATATTAGTAACTTATTATCAATAAAACTTGAGTATATTTTTCCTAAAAAAATAAAATAAATGAAATTAACAAAATATTATGTTTATTATACATTGTAAGAGGGGTCAAAAAAATAAGTTGATTCAACATATGTCATCCTCACCAAATTAGGTTTTAATTGGGGCTTAAGGGATTTTTGGGATTTTTTTAACATGTATAAAAGAAGGAAAATGTACTAGAAACAGAAGAATAATAATAAATATCATTTTAAAATATAAACTCAAATCAGTATATAACACTCTCACTTACCTCGTGCCACATATCCACACCTCTATTCATTGTTACATATCAGCGATTGCAACATAGCAACAGACTCGTCATTATAACACCCACAATATATATAACATTTTGCATACATTTATAAATTTATATTTATATAAAATTTATTGGTAATTGCAATAACTTTAAATAAAATATATTGTAAAAAATATAAAAACAATTAAATAACATAAGTAATTATATAATTACAATTATATTATAGTTAAATTTATGTACAAATAAAAACATTTTTAGAATTTTTAAAATTTTAAGATATTGAAAATATAAAAAATAAAAACAAAACCACAAGAAATTTTATTGATATAGTAAAAAATTATATAATAATATGTAAATATAAAATGAAATTATTTAAAAATAATCAAAGATTTATTTGAAAATGTATCAAATTATCTTATATATATATTTATTTTGTACTATATATAATTTTTTTAATATTATATAATTAATAATTACAATAAAATAATTTATTTATCAATTATATTTAATTGTTAACTATTATTTAATAAAATATATTGTTTAAATTTGTTTTTAATATTGATCACCTTGTTTAAATAAATAAGTTAATATTTATTTTATTATATTTGGATGCAAGAGATGTTTTTTTAATAATATATTTTTTATAATATATAATTAAATAAAAAAATTATTACTTACTAAAAAAAATTAAACTCCGAAAATAATAATTATAGAAAATTAAATTGAAATCATTTTATAAAAATTATTTTACATGTATTAAAAGTAATTGATTAATATTTATATTATAATTCAAAACTTTTTATAAAAATTTTAATAATTAATTATGAAATATTAATATCAAAGTATAACATTTAACTATTTCATGATATATAATAAAAATAATTTATAAAAATAATTTCTATTTAAAAATATTTATGTTTATTACTATTTATAAAAAAAACTTGTATATGTTGAAAAAAAATTTTTAATAATAATTGATAAATATTTTATTTTTATAGTAAAACAATATTTAATTATTTAGAAACTCAAATATTCAATAATAATATAAAAATGTAAAATTAATTAATCAAATGCCTAAAAATTCTATAAATTTTTTATAAAAAAAAAGAATTTTGTTTTAATAAAATTATAAATATGAATTTAGAAAATTATTTAGAAATAATTAATATTTTCAACAAAATAATTATTTTAATAATATTAGTAAAATTATTAATATTTTTTAAATAAAATTTTTTTGAAATTATAAATTGATCTTTTAATAATTTGAATTTTTATTATGATTTTTTAATTTATTGTTAAGAAAATATAAAATATAAATTGAAATTATAATTAATCTTACAAGTTTAATAAAAACAAATACAACTTAATCATTAAAAATTATATTAAAAAAATCAATTATCAGTTGCAATATATATCAATAAAATTTTTAGATTTTAAGTTTTATTTTAATATATACTTTTATTATTTTTATATAAAAGTTTTTGAATTATGAACAATTTTAAAAAGTTTGCAGTATATTGTATTGTATCTCATATTTTAACATCAAACATATAATTATAAGTTATTTTTTCAATAAAGATTATAAAATGTGTCTCATTTTAATATTAAACCATATATAATGTAATAAATAAAAGCAAAAAAATAAATATAAAAAATAATGCATTTATATATTTAATTAATAAATTTAAAATAAAATAAAATAATATAAATTGATGGTAAAATTATTATAAAAATATTTTTATTATATTAGTATTAAATTTAGTTAATTAATTAGTTGTCAATTTTATCTGATAAATAGATAATTGATATTGATATTACAATTGATATTACATTGGTTTGTTTTTATTTACTTATTTTTTTGTCTTTAATAAAAGTGAAAAATTATATTAAAGATCTTAAATTTTATTTTCAAAAAGAAGTTTTATTTAAAGATCATAATTCTTATTGTTGATATTGTTGACGTTGAAATGGTGAGTCTGTCACTTGGGGCAAGTCAAACTCACGTAATATTGGGATAGGTTATTTTTCTTTTCTCTACTTGAGGCGTGAATTTGACTTAGCTGATATTGAACCTATAATTAACCTTCTTCTTTCCTTTGTCACTCTTCATTGATTGTTCGAGTCACTATCTCTTTTAGTGACTACCAGAACAATCCTTTCGTGACAAAATTACTTTAAAAGTGGATTAATTACCAACTTCTTTTTTAAGCATATCTATCACACTACCACTTTTAATAATCTTTAATTAACATTTGCACGACCATTTTGCACTTCTATCAGAGGAATAATTTATTATTACTAAATTAAGTTAGAGTTATTGTTATTATGGTTTGAATTCCTTTTTTTTTTCTCTTTTGCTTTTTTTCACTCCTATTTATATTACCATGACTATCTGCTATAAGACTATCTCTATGACTCATAAACTATCATACCATTTAAACTATTTAAACTTTTGATTACATCATCTGAGTAATTGCTAAGGTATTTCCATTGCTTCGATTAGGCGCATGACGCAGATGTCGTGTCCCCAGGCCTTATCTAAGCAATTTCCCCACTAACAATATTTAAATAATTGAATGTGGATTATATATTTGCTATTATGTTTATTATATGGATTTCTTAAATAAGGAATTTGAATTTGAATTATTATGGTTGAATAAAAAATTAATAATCATAATAAACTTTATACAAATATTATGTAGCTCGAAAATTAATATAGTCAATTTCAAAAATAATTGAATTGAAGGTCATAATTTTGATAAAAGAGAAACAAAGAATATTGAAGTTATTAGATTGCTTTTGTGAAAAATTTCTTTAATCAATTCCGAATTATTTAAATACAATTGATTATGCTAATTATTAGTACAGTACATTTCAATTTATTATAAATTTTTTATCACTGGCATTCTTTTTGTTAGATTTTAGATTCTCAAACTACAAAATTTTCTTTGTTTTATATATTCCAATAATAAACATTGTTTTACACATCTTGATTAAAATTTGTTGTTTCATAACTTTTTTAAAATAGATAAACCTTTCAATATATATATTAATAAAGCGCTAACATCTGTCCGTTTTAAATCTTATAGGTTACGTCAGTCGTGAACTGTACAGGAAGCATTAAGACTATTAAAACTATTAATCTAATATGAGAAATTAATTTATATCTATTCTAGATATCGAAAAATTATATAAATAATATTTTTAAGGACTATTAACAAATAAGTTAAAAATAGATAGACATGATTATGTACAGTATATGTGTGTAACTTTTCCAAGTTGAAAGCAGAGAAACAAAATTAAAAAAACAATATATATATATTGCAGCACGTTGTTTGGCTATATCTTTAACTTTTGGCACAGTTAATATTAAAGAGATAATTGAAAACGCGCAAGTAGCATCTAAATAAAAGCCCAAGTTTTTGTTTTTTAATATACCACCGAACATCGGATGAAAAATATTGTTAAAAATATACTGTAGCTAAATAATCCAAAGAGCGATTTACGGAAACATTCGTTCCCATGTGGCTGGATAAATAGGAGACCAACTTTTCCGCAGAAAAGTCATTATATAAATCATATCTATCAGGCTCTAAAGTAGCTTTGGCGTAAGGACCAGTGGTTGGCGGGAAATAAAATAATGCCAGAGCATTATTCAAAATGAGCTGGTTCAAAGTTGGAATTCGATGCGATCAACTCACCTATTTACCATGTTCTCCAAAATAAAAGTTAGAAAAGCATTCTTACCTTAACATAAACTTTGTATATATTAACAAGAAATAAAGCTAAAAATAAGATATAATAGACATTTCGAAAGATATAGACTAACTCGCAAGGTGTATTGTATATGCAGCTCTAAAGCAGTAAAAATATTGTAGCTCACCATTAATGTCACATTAATATTTCTTGACTTTCAAATTCACCCTTAGTTTCTTTGATATAAACTTTGTAAATTACAAATTATATGTACTGTATTACGTTTGATCACATCAGTAATATTCAAGGATAATATTAACGTGATTATTTATGTACTTAGCTTACTAACCTTTATTTTTTTTTATGGCACGTGTAGCATGTCACCCCACAAAACAAGGATGAATGGAGGTAGATGCTACTCGAGAGCAGAAATAGAACCATGGAAAATTCTGCGTGATACTGCAGCTCACCGTCAACAAATACTGAGGATTATTCTATTCTACACCGAGTTGATATTGGCGGTATTACATGTAGCTACTGCAATGCTATTAAGCCACCCTGTGCAATTGGAAAATATTCCTTCGCCTTTACAAAATCTTTTTTCTGATCAGATAATGTTACAAAAGATTTTCATAATAAAATTCATCTTTAGAATTCGGCATTTACTTTTGCATCTACTAGTATCAGTCTTAATTGTGAACTTCTTA